TTTGATTTTTTGACATTTTAGATATAAATTTCAAATAAAAATTTAACCACTTATATGGATAACAATTGAAAAATTTTTACTTCCTACGAAAAGTTCTTGTTGAATATTTTTATTTGATAAAAAAATTTAATTATTAGTTATATAATATGTTAAATTTTCATCTAAAAAGTCAAAAAATCAAATTAACTCTATTAAAAATAAACGGAGAATAAAAGATAAATAGAGACTTTTTATGATATGATAATTAATTAAAATAAATGAACAATAATGAAATTAAAATAAAAAAATATTTATTTATTTTAAAAATAAAAAAATTAATAATTAATTGAAGAGAAATTTAAAATAAAAAATGACAATTATTTTGAGAGGGATGAGTAGTTTCAATTTTTATTGGTGAAGGTTACGTTCTCATTTATATTGTCAGTTGCTTTTTGCCAAGTGACTGTTGCACTTTCTAATTTCTTTTGATTAATTATACCTATATACATATATTTCCAGTTAATTTTTTAAAATATTTTAATTAATTATCTTTGCAAAATAAAATAATATTTAATCATTTTTTATTTTTTATTGATTAATATTTCCAGTTAATTTTTTAAAATATTTTAATTAATTATCTTTGCAAAATAAAATAATATTTAATCATTTTTTATTTTTTATTGATTAAAAATTTATATTTTTTTCCTATATTACACTAAGGGGAAAAAGGCTTTGTTTAATAATGTTTTCTATAGATTTTTTACACAATACTTTATCTAAAAATATAAATTTTACTTTTTAATTAATTTTTTTATGTATTTTTATTAATTTTAATTAATATTTTATATATTTTTAAAATTATAAAAGATAAAAAAAAGTTTCTACTCACAAACATAGTACAATATAATAAAAAAATGGACAAACGAAGCCAAAGATGTTAGTAAAAGTGTTAAAATATAAAAAAATAATATTAACTATTTATTTGAGCCAACGAGTTAAATATTTCAGCGGTTATCTCATTCAGCTAGAAGTAAAAGATCTTGAGTTTAAATTATATGGCATGCAGATGCAGGTGGGGTGGAATAAGAGATGACAGATGATTGTTTCTCATTATGCAACCTACAAAATAAAAAAAATTATTTATTTGAGAAATTTTAAAAATAGTAATTAATTTAAACCAAAATTTTTATGGTCAAGGAGAGTACGGAACACAACATTAATTAAGGGTGGGCAAAAAAAAAAAAATCCCTCTCGTAATTAAGGATATAGAGAATATGACGATATCGAGAACATAATTGAGCATATAACAAGATATTCCTTGTGACAATATGATTCTTGCGGTTTAGTTTCTGTTGCGGCAATAGCTTTTGCCAACCAATCTTCAACTTAGGTTTTTTTTTTTTTAATTATTGTGTGTAATTGCTTCGTTGACTGTGGCTGAAATGTTTTGTATAATTGCTAAAAAGCTGCTCCATTCAGTGGGATTTAATTATCTTATTTTATCTATCTACTATTATCAAGAAATTTATTTGTTATAATAACAATAATGAGATTTATTTTTTTAATTTTATCTTTACTTATAATTAAACAGAGAAATCCTAACACATTTCTACTATTTCTTTAAAGGTAAGGGTAAAGGTTGAAATAAAAAGTGAGATAATTAAATTAGATAACACTTAATTATAAAGTGAGACAATTAAATTTATTGGGGAGAGTATTTTATTATTTGAGAAATTATTAATTCGGCACTATAGGTTATTTTGGTCAATTTTATTGTTGAATAATTATAATAAAACTAGAAAGATAATTTTCAATGCAAACTATTTTTTGTGCAGTTTAGGCACTAAAATTACTTAAATCATTGATAAGTAAACACTGAAGGTAGTTTTATTAAGGTTATTTTAGTATTTTCTTTACCTAAACTTCACAATATTGAAAAACACTTTTTGATAAAATTATTAGTGAAAATTTTGAAATTAAATTCCTATTTTAGTGTTTTTTTAAATGGCAATGATACCACTTAATGCACAACATGATATGATATTAAATAAATATAAATACATATAATATTATAGATGAACCTTTAAACAAAAAAGTCAATTACATATTTAAATAAAAAAAAGTCAATTACATGTGCCATATTAGTTCTTATATCAACAGTGCACATTATTGTGTAGTAAAGGTAGTGCTCATAGCTTTTCTCTTTTTAAAAAAATTTAGAACTTTCTAATTTATTCGAGAAAAAAAGGAGTTTTAAGGTGTCTTTAATTTGGATGGGTTATTATTACTCTTTAAATAATTAATATCATATTTTTTTAATATAATTATCTATTATACCTTTATATTATGTTTTTTTAAAAAAAATTTACATTTTTATTTCTTAATAAATTAAAAAGTATAATAATCAATTAAAATAAAGAATGTGACATTAATAATTAAAGGTATAACAATAACATCATCCATTAAATTTAAATGATATATTTTTATAGTTTGAGTTATTATATACATCAACTATTAAATATTAATTATCAATTATTGACTAATGAATATAGTTATTCTATATTCTTAAAAGCTAAAGTCTTAGATCTTTTTGACTCACTAGGAAATAATCTTAAAAATTTACTAAACAAAAATAAACTCAAAAGTACAGTAAAATTATGTGAAAATATATTATTCCTAGTACTCTTTCAACGAAGCTCGATTTTTTGTTAATTTAGAAAGAAAAAATGCATGGAGCATCACTAGTTATTTGGGACACTGTTACGATTCATGCAGTTTAATTTTCATTTATATGTCATATAACCCTCCAACTTTGAGGAGTTTTTTTTAATGTAATTGACAAAAAATATTATCTTATTACTAAATATAAAGAGTACTTCAAACTTATTTACATCGTTTACAATATCAAGATATTGACATATAAA